GATTCTTAGAAGTAAAAAGAAAAACCGTCTATCATAAGTTTCACACCCTCTGCAGGTTGACGTTAGCAATAATGCAATTCAAGAATCTCAGTGTAACTGTTAAACCTTGATGATCAATCGACATACAAAAAAGCAACAATTGTCAACTGCAGTTTTTAAAGGTCGTACGGTTTCCTTAATTTCTTAGATGATCGACAGTAAATGAATAAAACCTCAAAGACCAAAATTTCTATGATTCTTTCACTCAAAAACAAAACAAAAACCGACCTCAAATTTGCTCAGTAAACATGAACAGAAAAATTTGTGTACTAAGATAGTAATACAGTCGGCTAAATATTTGAAATACATTGTATTATGTTCGTTATTTGTTCATCAACGTCAATATGATACAGTTGTAGTCGGTAAAATTTCAAACGATTATTTCATCCGATTTTAACATCATTTTTGCAAATGAAATTTGTACAGTATTGTTATCAATGAACACAACAAGTAAAGCAAATGCCAGATAGCATCGAATGATTTAATGACCAAATAATCGAGCAGCAACACAAGACCTTTACTGAAAATGTCATTATGATGGATGAGTCTACGACGATAAATGGTCTTCTGAACTGCGAAAATGACCTCATATAAATAACAGGCAACTTTCTATCCGTCTTACTGTTTCATTTTCCGAATGCCTGCAGAGATTCACGCTAAACTGAAATTACAGATTATTTAAAAGCAAGAAAAAAACAAACATTTGCGCCCTTATACCCCTGTGCAAAACGTATAATTTAGTGACGTCATAGGTCATATTTAATTTTCAAGACCTAAAAAGGTCTCAGAAGAATTACTTGCTGCTTTGAAGAACTTTTCAAAAGTATTCCTCATAAAATGCCTAAAACGCATTTTCGGCAAAAACTGAACAATGTTTGAGACACCCTTCAACGTCTAACACTGGAAAACTAAAATAAAATCAAATTTAAACTGTCCAAATTTTTCAGTCAACTCAGTACGGCACTAAGGACCGACTTCTTTAATCATCAACAGATCATATCAAGTAAAATTTAAAAACCGATGTGATCAAAAAGCACAAAAGTAATATTTTCTCGCATTTGCTCCAAGAAATTCAAACTTCAAAAAATGCCAAAAAATTTCTTTTCTAATTTTGACAACATTCAATCTGTACAGAAAAAATAAAGCAAATAAGAATTCAACAATGTTTCATTCAAAAGTATTGCCATTTTTTGAAGATAATATTGGTGAAAGCAAACTGAGAACAAATAATTGTTACGCAGGACAGTCGTAAAACTAACAATTCAGGAAGACTCTGATCAGTTTATCAAAAATAATTTTTTTAATGTGGTTATGCACCTCATAAAACTCAACAAAATATTTATTATTCTTTTCCTTCATAAAATTTATTTGACCCCGTATTTTGCATTCTAAAAACACGAAAAGATGCATCCCAGCAGTAACAATTAACAGTCATAATGCCAAAATCCATTGTTTCTAAACACCAACCACAGCTTTGGACTACAGAAAAAAGAAAAGCGTTTGTCACACCCTACATATAAATAAACTTGCAGCCCCTCCTCTTGTCTTCAAATCTCCCAACAAAGAAAATTGTTCTATCTCGTAACACATCCGTAAAAAGTATATTTTTAACTTCAGAGTTCCATCCGTTCCATCTTTCCCGAAACTGTCGTCAAAAAGGCCGTTGGAACTACCTCAAATTATGAGGTAAGATGTCATATTGGTTTTTCTTTTCACAGTAAAATAATAAGAATTAACTAGCTGAATACCTGTCTATACGTTTAGATTCAAGAAACGCTTTTGTCACTGCGTTAGGTCCAGATTTGTGAAATTAGTGGGAGCTCACGGCAGTTACTTCATTAAGCAAAAGTTTCTAAGCTCTTTCAATACTAAGCTTTTTTGCTATTAAACCCTCAACCAA